CCTGCTGTTGCCAACACATGTGTTCTTGCTAGAAACTGATACCCCCATGGAGAGCTGCTAGGCTTTGCCATTTGCTCTCATCCCCTGAGATCCCAAATTCCACAATGAAGCCACAAAAGTCCAATTCTCCAAAAGGCTCCTGACCTGAGCATGAGGCTACAAGTTCAAACCCCAGTACTACACACACACACACACACACACACACACTCACACACACACACTCACACACACACACTCACACACACACACACACACACACACACACACACACACACACACACACACACAATAAGTTAGCTCTGTGGCCATATCACGGCCCTCCAGCTCCCCAAGGCTGGCGAGGCAATACCTTGGTATGTCCATAGCACTGATACTTAATGCTTAGCATACCAGCCAGGAAACTTTAAAGTCTGGAAATGTCACAAGACCTCAGGAGAATCATGTTGGAAGTCAATCAAAGGACCCAAAAAGGTTGAAACAGGTCTGAGGCACAATCAGGCACTGCCCCCACCCTAAGGTCCCTGCCTTCGGACCCAGGCTGGAGCTGAAACAGGCCACCAGTGGCCCACACAGGAAAACACAGTGTATTTTAGACAGTGACAACTTATGAATGAACAGGAGCCACCTACCTTCTCAATACAGAGGAGGAAAGCAGCATGCCCTTGTGACACAGTGCAGCCTGGGATATAAATAGCTTCTACAAAGGTTGGCAAAATGCAGACAAGAAACTATAGTGGGTTACCAAGGCAAACCAGAGGTGCATTGCCCCATGTCACCTGTCACAGGTCATATCTAGAAAGAGCCTCAAGGATCCTCGAACTCTCAGGATGGAATGTGGGGCCAAGGACACCTGAGGCCCTGGTGGGGAGTGCGGGGAAGAGGGTGTGTGAATGGCTATTTCCTATTCCCTACCTCTGCACAGGGAAGTAGGAAAATTATTATTTCTGTTTCACATATCTCTTTCCCATCAGTTCACTTGCTTGCTTGTTTCCTTTCTGGCAAATTCTACCTGAAAAGATAGGAGGCACTGCTTGTGTTGGGGTACCTTTGCCCTTCCCTACCCCTTCCCATGATGCTAGTTCCTGGGTGCTGCCCCATGAAATGCAGAAGAGGGGAGAGACCTCCCATCTGCTGCCTTGGGTGGATGTTCCCTTTGTTGGAGGAAGTGCCTCCCTGGGTACCCAGAGAGCTCCCAGGGTGGTAGTGGTGGGGAACCAGCCACAGCTGCTGGGTTATGTATGGCAAGTGTGAAGCACATCTCATTTGTCATTGAAAGCTACCCCGGGGGACACTGGAGTAAGGATATTTATAGCTCTCATGGATGCAACCCTGAACTCGGATGCTTAAGTTGCCAGATACAGCAATGGTGCACCTAAAGCATACACATGAACTTGGACACAGAGACAGTGGCCAGATCTACAACTTTGGGGATCCCAAACTCACCCCACCGCATACCCACCAGAGTGTCCGTGCTCTGAGACCTGGCATAAACTGGATTTCAGTTCTTCCCTCCTCAGAGCATCAAGTTCTGCCTCCCTGCCAAGGATTAAGAGATCAGGCCTGGAGCCCAGAGCTAGGATGCAGCCTGCCAAGCAGATCCCTGCTGGCTCTTTGGGCAGAGGGAAAGCTCCCCACTTCCTTTCATTCCCAAGAGTAGAGGCAGTGGGGACAACCCCTCCTTTCTAATCCCTTCACAGAGCAGGTAGAGGGCTAATGCAGAGCCTATACCAAAGACCTGAAGCCAGGCACAAAAGGAGAAGTTCCCCTGGAGACAGGAGACAGGCAGAAAGCCAGAACTCTGTGCATGGCCCCCAACACAACCCGGGGGGGGGGGTAGGGGAAGGTGCTTCTGTCAACTTCCACCCCAAAACTTGGCAGTCAAAATGGCATGCTGTCCTAGGACCACCCTGGGGCTCAGCCAAGAAGGGGAGGGAGTTCCCATCAGGAGCAATACTTAGAGTGAGAAGAACATTGAGAGATGTCCCTATACAAGGCGCATGATGCGGACGAATGTCCAGCACACTCCCGTACTTTCTGTCTCTGTCTCTCTGCTAATTGCAGCCAAGGTCAAGAAGCCAGCAGCCTGCTCAAGAAGGCCAAAGGTCACCACCTAAGCACCCTGCCCTACTCGTAGATTCCTAATATGTCAACTGGGCAAATGATGTTTGTGGCTTTAGACTTGACCGGGGTCATCAAGAAGACCAAGAGTGAAAAAGCGGACTAGAGGTATGCCACCCTGAGGGAGGAGGCATGGTTGCATTTCTTCAAGTAGGTATGCCAAGCACCCACACACACAAGCAAACAGTTTGGAGAGAAGGCAAGTGCTTCCCAGTGCTATGATTCTCCTCATCCCTCAGTCTCTGGGAAAAATGAACCAACAGAAACCTACACGTGCCCTTGCTTCTCAATGCCAACACAGAACCCAGAAGGATTTCTCTGGCTCCTCACATCTGCTAATACTTTCAGGATCGGGCCCTCTAGTAGAATTTATCAACTTTAGGTATGATACATATGTCCTCTTCCATTTATGACCCCCTCACCCCTGTTACACTGCCTACAACAGAGCACAGTGATTTCTTGTAATACCGTTTTGCACGCCTACTGTACACAAAGAACTGTGGATGCCAACTGTTTTTGCAAAGGTTAATGAATTTAAGGCAGCCTACATCTCTGCAGTGTAGATGCTAATTATCTACATTTTACTATTACAGAGAAAGTAAATAACTCAGCCAGAACTGCATACAAGGTAGAGATCTAAACTCAAGACGTTTTGGTCCCTATAGGCTTTCCTCTATTATCTATCTGGCCGAAAGTCCTCCACAGGTAAGTATGTGTATGAATGTCTATATATTTATTCAGCACTATTGGTATGATAAGAGGAATCTCATACCTATTTATAGAGAAATGCGGTCTTTTTTTTTTTAACAATCAACACAGAAATCTATGTAAGATGCATCAACAATTATTTGATCCAAACTCTTACATTCACACAGCAATGGGTCCCTAATTAAAATGGTTTTTTTTTGTACACCCGAGTATGATACAACAGCTTAGTATGATACAACAGCCCTACTGCATCGCCTGATAATGGCTAAGTTTCCTTATTACCAATGGAATGAATTATCACTAACTTTAACCCCAAATCAAAAGTATCAGGTGGCACAAGACCCCTGAATGCATCCTCCCTGACCCACCCTGTCTACCACCACCAAGAGAATGACTGCAAAAACCTCAGGTTACTTTATGCACATGAACAATCTGGCCTATGGGGGTGGGGGATCTTGGCACTTCCCAGGACCTCAAATTGGAGTGATTGGAGGGCCTTTATCTCAGCAGCAAGCTCTTGTGAGCTTTGTGACCTGGGATGTACAAACATGGGCATGTGGTTAGATAGTAATTGGGTCTCTGTATGAATAGACTTCCGACACTCACATGTCCTGTTAAACTAAGTGCATGATTAAAACTCCATCACTGAGACAACAGAATGAGGTAGTATGAAAAGTTAAAATTAGAAACTTTCCTCCCCAAAATGCCCTATTGTCAACTGATGTCAATGTCTTCCCTATCAACAACACAACTTAAAAGTTGGTGGTATCTGACCGAATTCCACTCCTTGCCTTCCATAACTGAGGAAGATTGGGGGGCGGGTAATGAAAGAATAACCAAACCAGGCCCCCAAATCTGAGAATCAGACCTGGCTGCACTGACCTGGGCACCCTCGATGAAAGGGAGTATCCTCTGGCCCTTTGAATCACTAGTACTTCTCCATCCTCAGATGTTCCCATAACAGTTTAGAAATCAGGGCCATTTCAAGCCTCCTCCCCCCACCAAAAACAAAACAAAACAAAACAAAACAACCCAACCCACAAGATATTTCTAGACTTCAATATAAAATCTAAGAGTGTACAATTCCAAAAGGCAAATCTAAACAAAAACCACATATTTAGCATATAGTATCTGTAGTGATCATTCTTTTCTTACTTTCTTTTTTCTTAACCCTGCCCCCAACCGCTTGGCTTTGAAAATAAAGAAGAAACTCTATGATTGGACTTCCCCCAGAGCCACTCATAGCCCTTCGGTGGCTCACATCTCCTCAGGGTCCTCAACTCTGCACAATACACAGAAACTTCTTCCCGAGACTTTGGGCCAGATAGCAGAGACGAATTCTGCAAACTTCATCACCTTAGCCGCAGAGGAAAGAAAGTGGGTCTGGCAAGACAGTAGCACTAGGTCAGGGAGAGAAAAAAAAAAAAAAACTCCTTTATCCTTCAGGAAAACAGCCTAGCCCTTCTGGTTTGCAACCACTAGCCAGAGGCTGAAGGTAGAAGCCTTCCTTTCTTTACTGCACAATAATCTCTCCAAAGAAAACACAGTCACCTGGCCCTCCAGGGGGAAGAAGGACTCAAGCTGAACTCTTAACCCTAGCCACTCCGCACCCCAGGGAGTGGCTGAGGGTTGTTGTTTCTTTCCTTTTTCCCTGTGGTTCTCTGGTAACACCACAAATTACGTTTTCAGGGACTGGAGTCCCAGAGTGCAATGATGTTGTAATAAACATAACGAGAACCAAATGCCTTCCCATCATGTTAGATGATGCCATTTCCCACCAATCAGGCTCCTCGGGCAGGCAGACCACTCACCAATGAGGGACCAGACAGAGGCTGTGAGGGGGAGACCTGGTCACCAACAACTAAAAATAAGAGCGCTTCACCATTGGCTGCCGCCACTTTGCAACAGGAGTTGGGACCCACACACCAGGCAACACACATAACGACCCGTACTGTCAAAAAACTTTCACATCCCGGGGGTTCACATTGGTCTGCATTTTCTTTCCAGTTTGCTACCTTAATTTCCTGACTTGAGAAAAGACCCGATCCCCGAAGGGGCCTCTGGAAGACACACCCTCCCACCTAGACACCACAGCTTCCGAAGGCCCCTTCACAGTCACACAGAATTGGCGAAAGGCGGAGGTAAAGGAACCGGCCAGAGGCCAAGACACTTACCTGCCCAGCTGTGTCATAGAGTCCCAGCAGGTACTGCTTGCCCCCCACGGTGACGCTGACTGCAAGGACAGAAGTGGGGGTGGGAAGAGAAGCTCACAATAACCTGAGGTCGAACAATTTCTTTTCCTACAGGACCCCCCCCCTTTCCAAATCACGGGGAGACATGTGGGTGCTCCCCGGGAAAGAGCACCCCCCCTTTAATGTTCAGCTCACTGCCAAAGTGGCATGCGATCTAGGTGTAATGTGCACTCCTGCTACCCACCTCTCTTCTCCCAAGTCCCATAGCCACGTCTACCCTAGTGTCCCCAGCTGTCTCCCCCACAGGGGTTTGGGGCAGTAAGGGAAGCGACCGTGGGAAGGTCAAGGAGGGCGCTCAGGGGACTGAGAAGTGTGGAAGAAGGGGCGAGGGGGGAAGACAAGGAGGGGTGGGAGTTGCTTTGAGGGGTGACCAGAGGCACAGTCTGGTCTCGGGGGTGGGGCCGCCAGGCAGAGGGCACAGCGGGGGAGGGGAGCATGTTCAGGGGAGGCAGCCAGGGGGCTCAGCCAAAGTTGCTCCAAAGTTCCCGGCCGGGAATCAGCCCCTCAGTGAGCAGAACAGAGGCTTACCTGCGTAGTGGTCGAAAACAGTGGGCACGTACTCCTCAGGGAAGGCGTCGTTGGCATAGCTCATCAGCAGGCACGTCTTGCCCACCGCCCCGTCTCCGACCACCACGCACTTGAGCATCAGCGCGCCGGGCCCGTGAGCCATGCTGCGGCCGGCCGGCCTCGGGGCATGGTCCCCCCGGAGCCCCTGCCCCGGCCCCGGGCTCAGCCCCAGCCCGCCTGGGGGGTCCGCCGTCGCCGCCGCTCGGCGCAGCAGGGCCGTCCCCCCGGCCCCATGCAGCGGTTCCCCTCTCCGGAGGGGAAGGTGCGGCGGGCCCGGGGCGCTGCCGCCGCCGCCGCCGCCGCTTCGATCGCTGCCCCGCTCCCCGCCCTGGCCCCGCTCGCCGCGTCCGCCTGCTGCCCCCGCCGCTCGGAGCCCGAACCCGCTCCCCGGCCCGGCCTCCCCAGGAGGATCCGCCGGATCATAAGACTGTCCGGCCCCGGGGGAGTCGGCAACTTTGGGGAGGGCGGCGGAGGGGAGGGGCCAAGCGGCTCTGCCCGCCCCGCCCCGCCCCGGCCCCCGCCCGCCTGGGTCGGGAGGAGGGCGGTCCCCGCAGCTCGCGAGTGCCGCGCGTCCCGCGCCCGGCGCTCGCACCCGCCGTGGGGGGCCCTGCCGCTCACCCTAGCCTGACTCTCGTCTCAGCCAGGCGGGCGCGGAGGCAGTGGAGGAAGCGCCCGGGAGCCGGGAGGACGGGGTGGGGGGGAGATGCTGGGGGGGGGGGGTTGCTGGGGGAGGGGCTCTCGGGCAGCCGCTCGGGAGGAGCCCAGGGCTCCTCGCGAAAGTGCGGCCAGAGCCCGGAAGCGTCTGCAGGCCCTGGTGCCGGGAGGAGACGTGGAGGCCTTTCGGGGAACCACGACTACTTCAGCGGTGACGCAATTGTGCAAAATGATACAGATGTATCTATTTAAATTCGGCCTGGGAGGCAGGAGCCATCCTATCCGCCTGCAAGTGCTCCGCGCAACTAGAAATCAGGAACAGCGGCCAAAGGGTTATAAAAATAATTAATAACGATAATTAGAAGGGCGCGCGGAGGTTGGTAGGGTGGTGGGTCTCTGAGCTGGAAAACTAGGACTTCTTGGTTCAGCATCACCGCCCCACGCCTTTCTTTTGCAGCAGCACGAGCTTGAGTCATTTTCTATGAAATCGGTGACTAAGAAAGATGCAGCATATTGCACCCCAAGCCAGCCACAAAGAGGCGAGCCCTTGTAAGGAGACGGCAAATGTTATTTGTGCTCCCCCTGGAGGCGACATTGTCTGAGGCTTCTTTTCTTTCCCAAAGGTCTCTCCAAAAGTATTCGTTTGTGATCCTTGAGATATAATGATGTGTCCTCATGCTCTGCGATTTGGCCAGAGACCCAGGGCCAACCCTGCGCCTCTGTCTGGCGAGTCCGGAAACACTTGTCTGGCCAGGGCGGTTCTGTGGCCCAGTGCTGCTTCATACAGCACTGGAGCGAAGGCGCAGTCTGCACTGACCCCACACTGCACCCCATCCGCAGTTTGCGGACTGGGAAATCGCTTCCACTCACCGATTCCCAGTGGTAGAAATTGTTGTGGTGAGAGGCGCGTGGGGTCATTTATGCCCTCACCCTAGGGTTGGGGGTAAGGAAAACTGGTACCAGGGAAGTGGTTACAAAAAGGCTTCCTTGTTCCTCCTGGCGGCCCAGGACTTCAGGAGCACTTGAGGGAAATGCTCACTGCGATGTCATTTCAGTTTCACGACCCCCCACCCCGTGGGCCAATTCGCAAATCCTAAACTGGATTTCAAATCTACCAGGAAGATTTCGAGTATCATGTAAAGTTTCTTGTGAACGTGTGGGAGTATCTCTCTATATACCCTGCCCATTGCGTTTGAGTAGAGAGGTTCTTTGCACTGAAATCTGAAAGTTACTTCTCAGAGGTTAAGAAAGGCAACAAACTACCTTCAAGTCAGATCTTGCCACTTTCTAGTGGAGGGAAGGAAAGAAAGGTTTGCTGCTTGAAAGACCATTAGCTTGGGCCGTCTTTGCAGAGGCTAGTATTCTGACAGGAAGATCTGTGGTAGAAGCTTTTGCTGTGGGAACCAGCTCTGCAGAAAGCTGAATTTGGTCCAAGCATCACAAGTTAGCAGCTAAGCTGCCTTTTTCCGGGCCTCAGTTTTCTGCTCTAAAAATGTGAGCTCATCGCACCGGGACCCCAGGTTCTGGATGGCTGTGGGACGCTCTGGGAATCTCAGAGCACACTCCAAGCTGGGAACTGATGTGAGATGAATCATGCAGCGGTGATGTCACTGGCGACAGTGACCTCATTCCCTTGGCCCACAGCAATGGCAAACAGACTGCCAAGAATATTAGAGCTCTGGGGGGACAGTCACACCTGGTATGGATATGGATTGAAAAGTGGTGTGGGGGGGGGAGTTGTCCGGAATGCTGTCCCTGCCCCCTTGCACTGGAATAATTAGACCCTGGAGTTCCCATGGGCACAGAGAGAGAGAGAGAGAGAGAGAGAGAGAGAGAGAGAGAGAGAGAGAGAGAGAGAGAGAGAGAGAGAATGTCCAAGTGGTAAAACAGAACAAAACCAAAACCAGTTCTCAAAATGTCAAGGACTGGGGGACAGGAAGCAACTTTGTTCCTAAGCATCCCATAGGCCTCTGCTCCCCTGCCCCCCCCCCTTTTGTTTGAGCTGTGAACATTGAAACAGACACAGGTCTGTGTGGGAACAGTGAACTTATCTAGGCAGCCTTCTCTTTTTTTCCTGTACTCCTTCCTTCCTCCTCCTCCTCATTGATTCATTCAGTATTTCATTTAACAAGTATGAATTGAGGTCGACTAGAAGCCAGGCTTTCTTCCTGGCCAGGGGACTTAGAGCTGGCAAGCCACCATCACTAGAGGGGGAGCGGAAAGGAACTGATGGGCAAACAGATAATTGCTATATAATGGAATCAGTACTGTGGTAGGGGAGAAAGAGCAGGCTTCTGGAGGAGCAGAGGAGGCTGTAGTAGTGTGTAGCTGTGGCTGTGCTGAGAAAGGATTTGCGGAAGTGGTACCATTGGCCTGGGGCTCCAGAGGCTAATAGACAGCCTGCCTGCACTGGCCAGGCAAGAGCAGCACACAGTTTCTGGGGAGTGGCGGCCATCTGAGGTGGACAGAGGGCAGGCTTAGCTGGGCATAGGAGCTGATGACACTGCTTGTTTGTCAAACTTTATTTGTGGTAGAATATTATTTTAAGGTGTGTGGCTTTTGTTTATGCTGCATTTGTTTAACTCTGTGAAGCTGTGTTACTTACTGTGCCTGTCTAAAACACCTGATGGTCTAATAGAGAGCTGAACAGCCAATAGCAGGGCAGGAGCCAGGATAGGTGGGGCTGGCAGGCAGGGAGGATAAATAGGAGGAGAAACTAGGAATGAGAAGCAGCAAGAGAGCAAGGAGAGGAGGACAGCAGGGAACAGCCACCCAGCCACCCAGCCACCCAGCCACCCAGCCACCCAGCCATCCATGGAGTAAGAAGTAAAAAAGATACAAGCCCAGAAGGAAAAGGTAAATGGGATAACTTAAAATAAAAAAAGTTGGCTAGCAACAAGCCAAGCTAAGGCCAGACATTCATTAACTAAGAATAAGCCTCCGTGTCTGGGGGGATTTATTTGTTAGCTGGGTGGTGGGCCCTCAAAAGCCAAAAGAGTAAAAGAGCAAAAAAATTAGAAAATACTTACTCCCATAGGGATTCATATAATCAGAGAGGTTCATTTTTATCTACATAGCAAGAGACCAGGGCACTGTTTGGTGAGCTGTGGCCCTAAAAGCAAGGATACAGCGAACGATGGGGAGATTGGCAGAACACTGCTGTGTGCTGTACCTGTGTAGAACTGTGTTCTTGGATGACAGTCAGTGCTGTAGATAATCTTGTTTTATCTCTGAAATGACTGCAGGATAAGACTTGTAGACAGCAGCTATTAGTTGGTCTGTCTAGGACAGCACTATTTGCTTCTGATAAATATTCTTTGTAATTTCATCTCTGTCGTTACGTGGTTTGATGGGATGCTCTCATCTTATACATCCTTCCTGAACCCCCAAGGTCTAGCCCTACATGGGTAACAAATCCAAGGCAAGACAAGACACAAATTTCCTGACATTTTCAAATTTGGGGTTCACAGCAGGTCTCTCTCTCGCTGCACAGCTGGTTTGTGTGGGTCTGAAAACTGTTGGCAACTCAGGAGCTATACAGACTATGAAGTCAGAGGCAGACAGAATCAGCCACAGAGATGTGCTTTCAAGGTGTGCATATACACATTCGCACAAATGTGCACACGGAAGAAGCTCGAGTGGGTAATCTAAGTTCATGAATCTATTGTCCCAAGGCCCTACTGGCTCTTCAGATGGTCAAACTGAGTTAATACAGCTCTCCTTTTTGCCTAGTGAATTGAACTTAGTTGTCAGTCACTAGTATCCAAGGAATTCTGACTCTTCCAGTGTTCTCATAATAAGCCGATTGAGATGAGGAATATGCAAAGACATTTTGAAACTTGCTCAGTCACATAGCCAAGTAGCGGGGCTAAGGTTTGAAATGTCTTCCAACCCCAAGCTACTGGGTATATGTTCCATGACAGTGTATCAAATATTGCAGAGAAAGAAAAAAGAAAAAAAAAAAAAAAAAAAAAAAAAGGAAAATTTAGGTCTGCCATTTGAGACCACTCTAGAGCATGGATTTGATGAACAGGAGTTGACTAAGTGGGAGGGAGGAAGGGAGACCTCATGTAAGACTGAATGAAATGGGGCTGGAGAGAAGGCTCAGAGGTTAAGAACACTGGCTGGTCTTCCAGAGGTCCTGAGTTCAATTCCCAGCAGTCACATGGTGGCTCACAACCATCTGTAATGAGATCTGGTGCCCTTTTCTGGTCTGCAGGCACACATGCAGACAGAAAACTTTATGCATAATAAATAACCCTTAAACAACAAAAAGCAAAGCCAAAACAAAAACCAAAGGCTGAATGAAACATCATAACATGAGGAGAATGAAGTCTAAGAACGTTTATATGACAGAAATCCACGGGGCTTGGTAACAGCATGGACAAGGATTTATCGCCTATTTACTGCTCAGACTTCCTAATTAAACACACAGCCTTGAACTTCCTCAGACTGGGTAAATCCAGTTCATCCTAAAGCCAGTCATGGTATTAGTGAAAGGTTGAGTGGCTCTGGTTAACACCCGGCTGTGCTTCATCCACAAAAACCATCATTGTGGGAAGGGGGTATTTTGATTGGCTCTAGCAGCCCTTACTCCTGAGGCATGGGCTTCCTATGTGATGGGCAGCAGTTATGAAGGAGAA